TATTCCTTTGTAGAAAGTTCAGGAGAAGCCAAACTATGAAGGATGTATTATAATTGGTTGATAAATTAAAATGAATCACTTCAAAGGCTATTTAAATTTGATTAGGGATGATAAAATTAATAAAATAAGCACAAATCATGGGAAATTATTTCGACAACATATTTAAAGTACCTACCTAGTTACTATTTAGGCAATTATTGAATTATTGTGGTGACTCGTTAGACATCATTATGTTTTTTTGCGACCTCTACTATGTTGTTTAATTAACCTAATAATAATATTCGGCAATAGCCCTCTCATAAATAAAAGACGCCTAGTGAATCGGTAATTGTTCCACAATGTAGTCTCACTGTAGTCTACGCAGACCTTGCGATTTGTCATCGATCATACACTTTTTTCCTATTGTGACACGGTTGCTTGTAATTGAACTTTACGTAACAAGATCCAATAGAAAAAAAAATTAAGTCACCTCTTCCATTGAGATGAAGTGCAACGATTGCTCTCGTAACCCTTCTAATCCATTTAGCAATGAACGGTCTGATTAGTTTACAAATAGAGAAGTAAATGGAACAGATTCTGCTCATTTTTTTACTTCTTTAATTAATGGTTACTTTGTTACTAGGTAACTTACATCATCATCATCGACAGCCATTAATTCGGGAGCCCATTCCTGGACTATGTGTCTCCTCTATATAAAGGGGATCGTAATATTTACCGTAATATCAATACTTAGCAGGCGGGTTAAAGATTGCAGCTTAAAATGATCAGCTATTCTACTCTGTAATCTTCATTTCGAAATTTGAAGTGAATTCGATCGCTGTCCGCCATGTCATTGATTGAGAGAATAATCTCGACCAATGGCAGGCGAGAATGGGATCGAAAATTTAAAAATTTGAATTGAGAGTTATAGAATAGCCTAACAGGTTCTGATGAACCATGTTTCGTGCTAAGCCTTCTCTGATGAAAACGCTGCTACCCGTTAGGGGTCGTCCCTTGGTCGGCTTTAACGACACTCAAAGGAAAAGAAGGGGTGGTGAGCAATGTTTTCTCAGTACAAATTCTAGTATCCCCATACGATGGCCTTATATGTATAACAGATTGAAACAATTTTCGCCAGTCACATGCTAAGTAGGTCAATCAATCGTTCCCCTGGGTGTCGTAAATGATGAATGAATACATACAGTAATTAGACACCCTGTGTTATTGCTGAATGGGTGATAGAACTAAATTCTGTATTGATCTGGTTGTTTTGCTAAATTACATAGATAGGCGATTAGGAAACTTATTTAGTAGGTACTTACCTATTTAAAATACATAATATTGGTCTACTATCTATAAAGAGGCTTTAAGGAACAGCGTGACAAGTCGTCTACATTATTATTATCCTTTGTTATTCACATATTTAAGTAGGAATTAAAGCAAAGTAGCCCTGTGATAATCTGATTAAATAAGGGACCTAATGACGTACTAATTTACCAAATCTACGTTCTAACATGAACTTTTTATTGTTTCAGGTTTTGCCGTTAGTATTATCAGTATCATCAATCAAAGTCCCAGTAGACAATGCAGACCCCACCGACGCTCCCAGTACTCCAGAAGCGACAAAAAATACTCCGGTGTACTACATATCAGACGACGCTAATGTCGACAGCTACCTCATCCCTCCTGACCCACACAAAACAGAAGATTCACCCGAAGGGACAGGCGGCCCGCCTACATTCTTGATACCACCCTCAAAAGACAGCCAGCCAGGTTATTTCGTGCCCAAAGCATCGGCAGACATTCAAAGTGATTGGTTACCCATTCTACAAGCCCAAACACAAACCCAAACTAAACGCAATGTTCAATACCAACGACTACCCCTGGAAACAATCCCTATATTTTTCAACGGTAACCAAGGTGTAGCGGCGCCTCTATCTCTACCTCCCGTACCTTCAACACGGCTTGAACCGCCTTCAGTCGACGCTGTAAACGAGTTCTTCATTGATGTTCCCGAGGAGGAAGAAGTGCATGTGGATGAAAATAATGAGCCTATTCAAGCACCAGACTATAATGTACGCCCTCAAAATGAGAATGAACCACCCCCAAATCTGCAATTTGATCCAGCAGAACCAACCATCGCCTTACATTTAACGCCGCCTAAACCACAATCATTGAACGCTCCAACAAAATTGTTCCCAAAGAAATACACTGGTGGTTTCAAACCCGTCCCGATACCTCTCACTCAGTACGCTGAAACCGCACCAGAAGTACCGAAAGCGAAGCCTGCGAAATACTTTAAACCGCAATCGAGTGCCGAGGTACAACAATACACGCCGACCGACGACGAGAAGAAATTGTATCATTTCAAAAAAGCCGAGCATCAAAGAAAACTGAAAGGAGAAGAAGCCTTAAAGGTCTGTTGTGTATGATTTTGATAAACGACAAGAATTTATCGAATATAAATTTACTTAAGTTGTAAAACTTGTTTTGTTCCTAGCAACAGCAATCAGCTGATGGGGTGTCAGAGGAAACATATGGCGAGCCTACTTCGGCGGAACAAGAAACTTCGGAAACTAACTTAAGATACCCCGGACGTACGTATAATATAACTTAATAATAACATAACAATCATTGTTTGAAGTGGGTTGAGATGTATAAATCAAAAACTTGTATGACTAAACTTACTGTAATAATCTGAATAGATTGTTCGACCCTTCCAACACATTACTGAATAACATTATTGTTTGATACTTTACGTATATTAGGTACCTATCTATGTATAAGTTACTTTTGTTAGCTTCAGAAATAACTTACTTAGCTAACAGTAGGTAGCTAAGTAAGTAGTAACTTACCTAATTGTTCGTTATTTTGAATCTGTCAATGAGTGTCTACTGTAATTTAGTTGACAATAGGCAAATGTTTGTATAACATTATAATTTAAACATGAATTAGTTCATATTGTCTTGATTCGATAAAGAACCAAACATAATAAAGTAAGTGATTAAGCAGCAGGCTGTTGTTTTACGTGCCGTGGGTTCGATTGGAGCCCGGAATGACTCCTTTTGTAGGTACCTAATCCACAAAATTGATCATCCGAATCTTTAACCCCTCGAGCGTTCTTATGAGAACCCGGTGGATCATAAGAAAAAATGCTCCATGCTGCTTTCTCTTTTATAAAATCTATTATTAATGTTTTGTTTTTATTTTGACTGTATTTATTTTATTTCTTTTGTAATGATCCTTGTTTTCGTGTGCCAATGGCCAAATAAATGCATTTTCTTGCATACATAAGGATAAGGAAATGCTTAAGGAACGCGGACGCTCGATGGGTTAATCCGGATTCCAGTGTATGTATGTGAATTTGTATACCGGTATAAGCACCGATAACACAGAAGAGAGACTGATACCAATGATGATATAGTTATAAAATGACCCTTTATTACATTTCAGACAACGTGTACCACGTACCTGACCACGTACATCACGGGGCCCCGGGTCCTCTCCGTCACGGGCCTCGACCTGCTCCCCTGCGTCAGGCCCCTCCACCAAGCCCCCCACAAGACGTGGGTCCTGCTGCACCTGCTCCCGATGGCAGAACAGAGTTCAGGATGCACGGCATGAAGGGACCACATAGCTATCAGTTCGGTTACGATACTGGCAAAGGGTAAGTTTCATATTATACTAATTAATTACCTAGCTATCTCATTGAGGCTCAAGTTAAATCGCACCAGCAGTTTCTGAGATTTGCGCGTCCACACAAAAAACAAATAAACTCTTTGGCTTTATACAATAGTATCTATATAATATAACGTTGAGTAGTTAATTTTAATGCAGTCAATTAAAGAAATCACTAGGTACCCTACCCACATAATATCATAACTACTTTTACTTACTTATATTGTCTTGTTAGTCGAATCGCAAGGTCTCGGCTTCGATTCTTGAGTTGACCATAAATATGCTTGAGTCGCAATAGTCCTACTGCTACACAGCATTTCTATTTAATATAGTTAAAATATGTTAGGTACAATAATAAACTTTTAAATAATTTACAATTTCAGCAAAAATCGCCAATTCCGGTACGAGGAGCGAGACAACGATGGATTGGTAAAGGGCCACTACGGCTACGTGGACAGGTCCGGCAAACTCCGAGTGGTCAACTATAGCGCACATCCCGAGTACGGTTTTCGTGCCGAAGAACCCGTAGAAAAACAGCCATGAATGTAGAACACTATATTGTGTTCTACATTCATGTTCAACACGTGGTTGTAACGCAGGGGTCATAATACCTTGGTCATGTTTCATTCATTAGATTTTCGACTTAATTACAAATTAGATAAGGGTGAATATCTATTGAAGAAACTAAACAGTTATTGCGTTTCCTAATAACCCATTTTAATTGCATCCCGTTCGCTCCTTTTAATGTTCAATTTCAAAGGCCAAGATATATTGGTCTAACTACAATTACTTTATCGGGTTCTTTAGCATTGATAGTATTGTCTTATCTTTACGACCTCTGAAGTTCAAATGTTGTAAATATATTTTTGTTGTAAATAACGTAAAAATGTTCAAGCCGAACAATGTATGGGACAAAATACTTTATACGAAAATGTGTATTAAGTTATTTTTGTTATATTTTTAAATATTATAATTTAAGTTTGTTACCATAAGTGTCATATAGTGGATAAGGTATATTAATTTATATGTTTAACGAAATAAAATAAAAACATAATTTATGTATTTGATTTTTTATTAATAATAACATTTCACGTAGATTGCTCAAAAATATTGTAGGTATATCTATAAATTAAATTTAAAATATATACATAATTATAGGCCATAGTGATTTAGGTCAATAACACTGATAATAAAATATTTAATGACCTAGGTCACTCAGTAATAAAAACACGACACTAAATAACAATTAAATCCAAAAATATGGCACCAATAAAACTTTTTATAAAAATATTAAACTCTCTTAAAAATGTTGACTCAATTTTAAACAGCACATACTATTGACTTTCCTTTTTATCTCATACAATATTGTTTACAAGTTCAGCAAGTAAACTAGATGCACCAATGCGGAATAGTTTCGGTGTAAGCCATTCTGGACCTAATTCCGTGTACACAAGGACCAGCCAGTTGACTGCGTCTCTAGCTGTCTTTATGCCACCAGCTGGTTTGAGGCCAACCTGTGTAATAAGTACATAATATTTTAGTAGTATTATTTACTAGCTTTTACCAGCGGCTTCGCTCGCGTCATAAAAGGATAAAGTGTAGCCTATGTGACATATACCAATACACACAGCGCCATCTATACTAATACTTTTGTTTCCCTCGGGAATATTACATTTTTCCGAGATAAAAAGTACCCTATTATTTAATCCGGACTACTAACTTTACGTCTGTAAAAATTCAAAGCAATCGGTTTAGTAGTTACGGCGTGAAAGCGGAACAAACAAACAAACTCAATATTAGTAAGGATTTGTTTTACACACTCTTTGTGTGTTAAATGCTGTAGGAATTAGTGCTACATCTATTCAAACATTGTTAGTTCATGTTCAATTAAAACTAAATAAAAAAAAACAATTTTAACAACTACACGGGTATTTAGCCTGCTTGGTAAGGTTTGGTGAGGTAGTTTAGATATATAACAAAAGCATACAATTTATCCCCACACTAGGGTTTTATTTACTGTTTATGTAAAGCTATGTTTACTTAACAGCTTCTGTAATTGAACTCTCTGTGATGGCAATATTATGCCAAATTTATATGAAGAAGACTTATAATGATAATATGCCATATCTAAACCTTCTTATGACATAAAAAATATCCTGAAAATCCTATGGCAACGAGAGAAAACAGGACTGTTCGCGACTTTGTACGCAGGCGCAAGTCGCGAGCAGAGGCTAGGCAACAATGAGTGTCCTCTTACCCTGATTCCAGTATTCTGATAGTGTCTTCTTATTGCTCTGCACATCACAAGACCAATGGGCAAGGTCGCATTTACAGCTTCTTTACCCGTGGAGGTCTTTATAAAGTCTGCACCAGCCATCATAGATATCATGGAGGCTCTATAAACCTGGAAGAAATTAAAAAGAATAGTAACTACTTGAATAAACTAGGGTCCAATTATTTAATAGCTTTTTAACCTTATTGCAAAAGTATAAGGTAGAAAGTGGAATAAAAATATTATAACGATAAGAGTAGCTTGGTTGCTAGTATCTGTGTTTTGGCTTAAAAATTCTCGTAAGAAAAATTATACAATTAAAATGAAACTCACATTCTCATAAGTTCCCAATTCTCCAACTCCTAATATGACTTTCAAGTGGGCTTTACCACATGCATTCTTCATTTGTTTGACTTCATCATACAATGCATCCCACTGCCCTGTTAGCACTAAGCTACGGTCTAAGACTATATCAATTTCAGTAGCGCCGCTCGAAACAGCATATTTGATTTCTTGTAATCTTGTCTCTATTGGGTAGAGGCCCGAAGGAAAACCAGTGGCCACTGCAAATGAAAAAATAATCAAATAGTTAAAATTAAGAGCATTTATTCTTGGGTATCTTAATTTTTATAATTCTTGTTAGTGTTGAAAGTATGAAAACAGTCCTTACCAGCTGCAATATTAATTTCTGAAGTGAGTTCCATAAGTTTGATAGCCTCATAAGCATCTTTTACTTTTGTTGGGTAAACACACACTGCTGCCGTTCTGATGGGATTTTCCAAGTTCAACTGTTTTATCAAATCTTTTGGCAACGGATTTGCCGCCTAAAATAAAAGATTATGTATGAGTTTAAAAAAAGAACGCATATTTTCAAATATAGTCTTCATCAGTAGTCTTTCATAAAAAAAAAACATAATAACTATGGCAGCTAGTACTTGATAGGACTATTAAGTTAATTCTTTTTTTTAAATAAGTAATTGTCAAAAAAGGTATGCAATCTTTTTAAATTCTGAGACTAATATACAATTTGGTCTTTTCATACAAACCTTAGTACATAGTCTAAATACATTTGACCTGGTATCATCACCAGAAAGAGTAGTTAAATCAGTTACTGTAATGGCTTTCAGTAACCATGCATTTAAGACATCTGGAGTGGTTATAGGGTGAGTATCTAATATTGTCTGTATTTGTGCATCCACATTCGATTTGTTTATGTAAATCTTCCTCAAATTAGCCATTTCTAAAAATAAATAACTTATTTTTTTTATAAACAATTAAAAAGTACCTATTGCTTAAGTAACAGCATCTAACCTGTAACATCTAAAACAGTTTAACAGTAGATTTTGTTCTTACACAGTTAACTAATAAACAAAACAATTTTGATAAAATTACAGGATTTTTACAGAATCAATTTTAATTCTGACAATTAGGATAAAATCTCGATTCTGTGATCACAACGCACTGTCTAGCATATATCTAAAATTATTCTTACATCAACTTATTGTTTAACAATTATTAAAATGAGATAACACGTTATCTTAGACAAAGTAAAACTTACCTAAAACTTTTGAATCTACCATTTTATTTAAGTTGTTTCTAATTTAATAGGTGTCCTAGTATTAAAAGAAATTATGTATTTTGTTTCCTTTTATATATTTTATTTTAATGTGGTCTGCCACTAATATTTTTTGACAAAACAACAAAATTATTAATTCAACTTGTGAACTTGAAATTGATAAGACCTGATGTTGCTGCCGAATGCTGATTAGAGGAATCGTAATTCGTAATCGGACCAATCAGAGCTTCGAAAAGAATGACATTGACGTTATAATGTCAATTTGACAATGGTAAGTTCAAATCATTGAGTGCGCTAGCAATTACTTCTAATTTTACAGTCGTAAAAAGACTTGGTTATTTTTAACACAATTTTATTAGGGCTGGCGCTGCAAGCTATGTAGTGAAAAAAATACAGCTGCTTTTTTATAGGCATTATAGGTGTATTTTGTACTTTGTATTTAAATTATTTTATGGTTTTAATGTAGGTAATTTCAAGTAAGAGACAAAAATTCAAGAATTTGTTATTGAAAAACATGTAGAATTTGTTTAGTTTAGGGTGCTAAACACAGATGTCGCTAGCTTTCCTTAAACAAAAGAAATGTCTTTTGTTTTAGTTAGAGTATAGCTCAAATAATTTATATTTCGAATTTAATTATTTTCTAATGACGAACCTAAAGTTATCTCTCCAAGACCAAGAACACAAGGAAAATTTATATTTCCATTTTAGAGTAGGTAGATATGAGATAAAACCTTCGAAATAATCTCGGACTTTAACATAGGAGAGAAGTTGAGCGATTTCCGTATTTTCCGTTCCCAAAAATGTCATTTCCCAAAACTTTCCAAGTTTTTCCACTTTCGGGTTAAATTGCTCCCTTAAAACGCAAGGCAAAGAAAACGCAAAATTTTAAAATAATAATAAAAGACAGTTTGGATGTCCGTAGCAGGCTGGCAGCATAGCAAGTAACTGCCTAATTATTAATATTCAAACTGAACATGACAGTTGAAGTCTGTACTCCAACTGTAGAAAGGTACGAATAATTATTAAAAAAAAAATAACAAATAAAAAATATTGTTCTCAAAATATGTTTTTAACTGTTATATTACTGAAATAACTGCTATCAATTATAGATACATAATAATTAATAGATAGTGTTAGGTATTACTTTAGCCCAACTCTACTGGCGTTGGTTTCCATCCAATCTAGATGCTAAAGTGATTGCAGATGGTAATAGGTCTATGTTGGACCTCCGCCTTCCAATTACTTGGGAAAGCGTTAGTGTAGGTACCTAAGTTTCACGATCGTCAAATTTCCCTCAGTAATATTCACACAATTCTTATTAAATGTACCTAGTTCTAGCAATTAAGGATATTCGAAATCGAGATTTTGTAAATCGGGATTTTTTTTATAAGGAATAAGGTGGCAAACGAGACTGGACTCCCACAATACCAAAGGAATTACAAGGTATTGAATTTTTTGACATAAGCCGGTAATGGAGCAGACGGGTCACCTGATGGTAAGCAATCGGCACCGCCCATGGACACCTGAAACACCAAAGGCGTTACGAGCTACATTCATCCTGAAGCATGGCTCTTCCACGACAAATAGATATTATTTTCTTTTTACATTTTTATTTGTGCAGAAGTATATTTTCTTTTTCTACTACGTACAAAGTTATTTGAGACAATGTTTCTGTAGTACGTGACAACCGTGCAAGCTGACTACTCGACCACCGAGACACCTACCTTGATATGTTTGTTCCGAACACTGTTTTAGCGAGCTGGAAAGTGGAGCTAGATTACCATTTTAATTAGTTTTACCATCATTAACATATTGCAAGGTCGCATTTTATTTTAACGATCAATTTATTAGGAACGTTTTATTATAATATTGCTTTTTAGTGACTACTGAGCATGCTGTTTGATTCGGAGTCAGATACAGAATTTTAGTTAAGGATTTCAATTGAAAATCCTCCCCCTTCATGATATTACGTGGGATGGGAAAGTCCTGGAACAGTCCTACGTGAACACCTACGCAGCTACGATTTAAACAATTTAGAAACATACGTAAGCAGATACCTTCTTGTCTAGTCTACCTAATTTTATCTCAACGACTCAGAGTAGAATACTTGAAGAAAAACATCTTCAAACATCTAGAAGCAGACTTGAAAGGTATTGTTTCTATAAATACAGAAATAGTCAACTGTCATTCAGAATCGAATACTAGTGGACCAAGTTTGTATAAATCAAACATTCTAGCCACGAGCTGATTAAACGTAAACATCGGAACTATCTCGAGAGAGCTTGACATGCCATTCAATTCACTACGCAGTCGACACAAAGTTCTAAGTGCCGTAATGTTATTCTACGGGAATTTGTCGGCACAATACTCGTTTTGCATTTGTTTTATATTGAATGACGTTTAACTTGAAATTGAACGCTTTTGTTGAGTTTTTTTAAAGTTAGAGACTCGCCTTGGCTTCGCGTGGGTGCTATTATCTGATAGTACTTACCTACCGAACATATAGTCTGACTGTATTATTGCTGAAAACGTGTTGGTTATGGAAAGAGAACTAGACACAGACAGCAATAGATTTTTCAATGTATAATAAGTAGGTACCTAGATATAATTAGATTTTTCGACTTATATCTACAGTAAAGTATATCTCACTGACTGCTTTAATGCAGAGGTTAGATGGAGGGAACCTGATTTCCCCAAGGAAGTTAGAATTGTAGTAGAGAGAAGATTTTATTATCTACATTAGCAGCGCTTCACCGTCCTGCTTGATTAAGGTTTAATCAATCCTCGATGCTTACCGTTATTGCCTTGGTATGTTACGTATGACAGTAGGGAGACATCAGACAATGTATCAAGTAAGTAGATTCATGTTACAAGATATATCTACCAAGATGATAAATCGTCTATCCACCACGTAACCACCCCCACGCTGCGTCGCGTCGCAGTCCTTTAAAGTTATGCATTTTGATGTTTCAGTTGGCTCTCGGAATTTTTTATGTCTCATTTTATAAAATCTTGAATAGGAAATGAGGATCAGTCTCTTAGCCAATTTATTTTATCCCGGGTAGACAGCTTAAGATTAAGATGGGTTCATTTTTACTTAAGCAACAACATGAAAAAATAGAAAATACTTAAACGGAAATATTAACTTGATGGTTGACAATTTCTTGAGCAATCGTTTGTTAGTAAAAGTACAGACAGTCTATTTAAATGGCATTGTAGGAGATATCTGCGTATATTGGTGTTTCCCGATTCATGTTGTGTTCGTATTTGGTGAATACCGAGACGCTAATCAAAGAATAAATCTCGGTATGTACCTACTGAACACGATTTATTGCGATCTGAGATTTGTTTCAGGCTCGCAGGACGCGAAGCGGGCGCTATAAACATTTCAGCGAACCATTACTGTAGTCCCACGGAGAAAATAGCGTCTTAGTTCTTGCTTTCAAAGTTTTAAAGGAATTACTGTTGTTTCCGCGAGCCCCTTGCTCAGATTGAATAAGACTCAATGTCATAGGTCAAGGCAAGTTTGTCCAGTGTTCTTTACTTGGAAGTTTATGAACCTTGAACTTCTTTTGTGTCTAGATTGATGACATGGTTTGATCTATAGTAAAATTGATTACATTTGTGCCGACAGACATTTACGTCGGCATGAAAAAATGCTTAGTCGTTGAGGAAAATAATTTGGATTGATTGTTAAACACTTCCGCTGTTTAAAAGCTTGGTTATATCATTGTCTAACAATGATCATACTTATTAGACCTTATACCTAACTAACAAAATGTAACTATGTTATCTATCTATATATATAAAATTCAAAGGTGATTGACTGACTGACTGACTGACATAGTGATCTATCAACGCACAGCCCAAACCGCTGGACAGATTGGGCTAAAATTTGGCATACAGATAGATGTTATGACGTAGGCATCCGCTAAGAAAGGATTTTGATAATTTCCACCCCCAAGGGGGTAAAAAAGGGGATGAAAGTTTGTATGAAGCTTTGTCAGTTTTTAACTGATCGGGTTGAAATTTGGCATGCAGTTAGATGTTATGACGTAAGCATCCGCTGTGAAAGGATTTTGATAATTTCTACCCCCAAGGGGGTAAAATAGGGGATGAAAGTTTGTATGAGACTTTGTCAGTTTTAAACCGATCAGGTTGAAATTTGGCATGCAAATAGATGTGATGACGTAGGCATCCGCTGTGAAAGAATTTTTAATAATTTCCACCCCCAAGGGGATAAAATAGGGGATGAAAGTTTGTATGAGACATTGTCAGTTTTAAATCGATCGGGTTGAAATTTGGCATGCAGATAGATGTTATGACGTAGGCATCCGCTGTGAAAGGATTTTGATAATTACCACCCCCAAGTGGGTAAAATAGGGGATGAAAGTTTGTATGAGACATTATCAGTTTTAAATCGATCGGGTTGAAATTTGGCATGCAGATAGATGTTATGACGTAGGCATCCGCTGTGAAAGGATTTTGATAATTTCCACCCCCAAGTGGGTAAAATAGGGGATGAAAGTTTGTATGATACTTTGCCACTTTTAAATTGATCGGGCTGAGACTTTGCATGCATAAAGTTACTATACATAGGTATCTCTTGAAAAGGATTTTGATAAATTCCACCCCTAAGGGGATAAAATAGGGAATGAGGTTTGTATAAATCTTCTTAGCCGTTGAATTTAGAATCATGAATCTTTTTGAATTACATTCGTAAAACGATGATTTAGGACCTGATAACGTATGATAGTTTTTTCACAGATGTCACACGAGAACGGGAACTATGCGTCAATGCCCCAGGACTCTCTAACTCAACCACTGAACTTATTCTAGAGAGATTCGGTACAACAATAGTCGATAGAATAGTTTTTATTACTCAAACCTTACGTGATCTGGCACTGCACTGGTAAGATCCCTGCGGGATTATTTATTTATTGAAACTACGATAAATCATTTCAAAATAGGTAAATCTTACTTGGGCACTGAATTGATTCTGGTTAATTCTGTCAGAAGTCATTAATCTACGCGGACGAAGTCGCGGGCAACAGCTAGTTTGTTTTAAAACGTTATCTAATATGCACATGGAGTCAATGTTATGTGTTCGAAATTCGAAAAAAAAACATGAGTCGTCCAACACTACAAAATGCTGGCAGCAAATAAACGAGGCTTGGAATCCTTACATCCTCTTTTGCATTAACCTATACAAGTTTGAATCAGAATAACTCGTGGATAACGAACTGCCTTTCAACATGATGGAGCTCATGATATGAGGGTATGTGAACAAAGAACAAGGTCGTGTCGTTCGTAAGGTTCGCAAGAGACGGTACATAAGCAACGGCAAGGGATATGAGTACGGACGTGTGGATGAATGAGTGTTCCTTCATCTTATTTCCATATCCGCATGTCAATTGCCACGCAGTAATTTTACTTTGTTGTAGGAATCGTGCTCCGGAATCAGATTTTTATTGACGTTTTATACGGATATTTTTTGTATGTATCTCTATGCGTGTTTGTGCTTGTTTTTTGTACAAAAATAGAATTGTCATTTTACATGGATGTACGCAAATAAATTGATGAGGCTTAACTATTTTCTTGCTTGTTTGGATAATATAATGCTCCGCTCTTCTTCGTCTGAGGAAAGACCTCTATCATATCATAAGTGGGAAAGTTATTGATTGACATTATTTTACAGAAAATCACCCTAACGACTTGTCTAAAAATATCAAAGGAAATATTGGTTGTCTGATAGCCTAGTTCTTAGAAACCTTGTAAGTAAAGGAAAAAATAGCAGATGTGAACTAAAGTGCCTAGTGACGCTTCCCATTAGGTAGTTAAGTAATGGTAGCTAAAGGAAAAAGATATCATCCTTGGCACGAAGCTAGTTTCAGTACTTTTAACACATTTTGTTCGAAGCTCTTCTCTAGAAGTTTGATAAAAGCCGTTAGATATAGGATATAGCCAACTTATTTGTTGAAAAAAACTACCAACGTAAGTAAAGATAGGTTAAATGCGATAACTAAGAATAAGAGCTCTGGTACGATTCTCAATTTAAGCGAATGTTTCATTCAGTACTCATAGTCACGGGTTTTAAGTCAAAGAAGGACATACAGTTTCCATCAGTAAGACATGAGTTCCATATAATAGTTTCAATTTCAAATTTTGTTACTTTCGTTCGACTCGAAAATAGAACCAATCCGACATAGCTATCTCATTCTCAGTAATTGTTAATTACGAATATCCTTCTATATAAACCGATCATACGTTTCCTGATAAGCTAGCAAATATTTCGAAGATGTAATTAGCAGTATATTGCAGCAGCTAATATATCATGTCGGTATACAAACGGATGGGTGCTCGCTACGACATGATGTATGTTACCCGCCCCATTGGGGGAAATCACTTGTCTTAACCCCATGGAAGATAGGAACGGGTACATACTGTGTCTTGTCTGGATTGACTTTGTCCTGGATTCTTCGATTGAGATTAAATTGTTCGACCTAAAGTTCTGAAGATTATTGTCTATTTGTTTATTTATTTTATATCATACGCGATATTCTCTATTATGTGCACCTATAAATAAGTGGGCAGGACGACGGATAGCATGGATTTATTATTAGTCGAAATACGTGGGAGTTTTGAGTGGCAGCTTTGAAGAGCCTCTTTAAGGCACAGTGCCTGTAAATATTACAGTTACGTAGTGTAATAGGATTTTCTCATATTTCGTGGATGCGTTTACAAATACTTTTACCGGATAAAGTACTTTGAGGATGGCGTAAACAGCTATACCATGCAAAAATCAAAACCCTTTGTGCTATAACTAGATTTATTTATTTATTAATAGGTTCTTTACAGCTAACAATTTTTTTTTTTAAAAGACGGGTTTTCTCCTGTGTTGTGCATGCGTTTACAAACATACAAATTCGCATACACAATGACATCCAGACCCGAAACAACAATTTGTGGATCACACAGAGTGTTGTTCCGTGCGGGAATCGAACCCGCGACACGTTGCACGGCAGCCGGTTGCCCAGCTACCGCACCAACTGCAGTCAAATGATTACAACCAAAACAGGTGAACGGTAGGATCGGTTATCTTAAGTGCCTATTTATAAGCGTATATAACTTACTCTGCAGTGCTAGCCAAATGCCATTTAGCGCTTGTCTACATGTAGAGTAGAAAACCAAATTATATGGAATTGACGTAAATTTTGACACTTGTCAGTGTCATCCCCATACATTTTGATTTCTACTCTCACTGTAGACAAGCGCTAAAGTGGCTTTTGGCTAGAGGCCCTGTATTGAATACTGGGTTATATCTAAGTAGATTGCTATAAAGTACTTTAAAGTTCCCAAGTTACTATAGCTCGCTTTATGTTAGGAAAGTAAGCAAAGTAAAGTAGCATAGCAACTACTGAAAGCGGCTAAATTATTCCGTTCATACAAACATAAATGGCGAACTTAAGGTTGATTCAGTTCTAGGAAATGTCTAGGTAAGAGTAAGGTGAATTCTAGTTTAAGTAACATTACAGTAATTTGAGCTTTATAAGGTCGAATTATATTGTAAAGCAGGTGTACCTACAATTGAGATTAATTCTCATGTCGTGGGCCGTGGGTACATTTTTCTTTTCGGCAAAGCCGCTGTGTCCTAGGTAGCAATCATTGGCCACAATCCCGTAAATGTTTCTTACATAGAGACCGAACAAATCCTAACATCGGTACACACTTACCCAGTAATTGATTACTAGACCAAGAACACAATTTTATTACTTATTTATTTATTTTCAGCCATGATCGTCCCACTGCAGGGCAAAGGCCTCTCTATCCTCCGTCCGGCGTCCACTGTCGCGGAGAATCTAACGGGTTACCGGGGCTACGGCTCGAAGCGCAGGAGAAGGAACGGAGTGGTTTTTAGTCAGTAAGAGTCTGACACTCCCTCCCGCCTTAGGGAGTGTCATTCGATGATTTTTCCCCCTTAAAAAAATCCTCCGTCCACTCCTCTCTATGTAAACCAACAACGAAGCTAGTAAGTGAAAAAAGTAAAAGTAGATAAATAAATAACACATAATAAAGCCGTTAAAGTTTTTATTACCCAATAAATAGTTTATACATAACTTTCAGGTGTTATAGGTCTTAGTTTGGGCTAGGTTATTATGACCTAGTTGGCTAACTCATTACTTATTTATGTAGTAAGTTACATTACATGCCATAAATCAACACAGGCTCCTAGCTAGAATGGTCAATTTTCTTACGATACTGTTTTGTAGACATGGCCGACATTGGCCAGACTCCAACGTAGACTGTTTAATAATGAATGAAATAAATACCGTACATGTAGTAGGTAGTTGTACAGTTCTATAGCCTTTATAAAGTCTGTTGAAAAAATATTATTCGCATTAGCTAACTTTTTTAATTTAATTGACAATTTAGATAGTAAAAATATCAAAATATGCTTAAGTCAATTATTTACTTTTTATAGATGTAGTAATTCCGTATCCACACCATGTTTTTATAATGACTGCCATGTTGGCCGAGTGTTCGCTAGTGCGACTGCCGGACAAGGGGCTTCGATTCTCGGGTCGGGAAAAGTATAACTGATTTTTTTAAATTCTCATTTGTAGCACAGAGTCTGGAATTGTGCTCGGTATATGTGCAATTGGCTCACCCCCTATTACATGGGACTCATAACATAAATAGTGTAAAGTGGATGTAACATTGTACAGTGGCATAATGTACACCTCTGCCTTCCCATTCGGGGATGGGAGGCGTGACTTTATGTAATGTTATGTTATTTTGTTTTAGCACTGAGTTTATATTGCTTTTTCACGACCTGAGTCTAAAGCACGAATAACTATCGCATTCGTAACGTATTGTATCGAGCGCGTTCGGCGGTCTGATTGGCCGGCTCAAGTGAACCAACCAATCAGAACGCTTAACTTGCTCGATACTGTTACGATACGAATGCGATAGTTATTCGTGCTTGGCCCTCTGTACACGTTGTTTTATTTCGCACGTAACGTAATCTATTACACAATTGTTCTGTCACCAATCAACAGTGTACGTTTGTGGTCTTTCCTTACTAATATTATAAATGTGAAAGTGTGTGTGTCCGACTTCCACGGTAAAATGGAGCGACGTTTTTTTTGTGATTTGTGTATGTATCGATAGGAAAGGATAGAGAGTAACTCTTTCTAACCCCCCACTGCAAATGGGAAGTGGAAGTTTGTATGCTAAAATTCGTATGCGGAGTATTGGTCATTAATAAAAATATTGTAGGTACATATTTTTTCTTACTAAAAATTACGAGTTACACACGTAAATATACTGAGAAAAGCTCTACTAGTTTCGAGGTACACAGGGAATCTTAAACCTTATGAATATTGACCTTATGATGTCGCGCAGCCTACTGAATGCGTGTAGGCTGCTTGAGTAGGTAACTCGTAATTTTTAGTTAATTCAGCATGTCTCACGATAGTTATTATGAAATTTTTTTGTCAATCTAGGTATCTCCAAACCGTAAAAAGAGCGCAAGCGAAACCGCGTACAAAAGCTAGTAGTTAATATTATTTCAATGT